GAACACTGTTAGATAGGTAGAGACAAGTATTGATCTGGGTGAAGAGAAGGCAATGTACCAAATGTGAGTGATCAACACAGTGGCATTGAGGGAGAGGAAGATATAGAGAGGTACAAAGGAGGTATAGACAACAAAGATGAACCCTCTTGCACAAACAGTACTTCATTGTCAGTGAAGGCAAACATGGATATATGGGTGGACAGGCCACTATTAGGTATGTCAATGAGGGGGTAATTTGCCAAGACCATGTATAGGGTTTGCAAACAATGTTTCTACAAGTGTTATTTGTATGTTCTGTAAGAATTCCTAGGTATATAGTAGACCTAATAAGGGATAAGATTGCAGTCACTTCTTGGCCACAGCCAGATACCCAGAGGGAGTGAATAGTTGGATCTGTGGGCTCAGGACCTTAGTTGCAGGGAACATGCAAGCTCAATTGGCATAACATACTACACAAAACATTGTTCCACATTTCACTTTGGAGAGTAGCAACTGGGCTCTTAAAAGCTTGCAAGCAACCATCTAGATGCAAGGATGGGTCTCTCCTCATCCAGAGCAAAGAAGAATGAAGAAAACCAAAGATTCATGGAAACAATTAGTCCAATAGACTGGTATACCATGTGATCCTCAGCCTATATGACTATGAGACCAGAAGAACTAGATGATGTTTGGCTACTACTGTCAACCACTTGGAGGGGGATCTATGTAGGAGATCCTAGATAGAGTGGGAGAACAATGTGCACCAAAAGTCAAAATCATAAAAAAAAAAAAAAAAATATGAAAGAGAGAAAAGGACCAGGTTTGCTAGTCTGATAGAGCCTGATGGAACCACTGAGACTATGGCCCTTACCTGCCCTTCAGGTCTGGAATTGAACCTACTCCTGTGGCTTACAGATGAACAAAAGACAGGCATATGAACTGAACATTTACATTAGGTAGATACACTCGTTGGAGAGAACAATCATGGGAGAAAGAAGGGCTGTGCATGCACAGGGAGACAGCTTAGGGGCAGGAGTGCATGGAGGCATGGACACAGAGAAAAGGTAACTATTGGGAGGGAGGAAGTGGAGGGGAGCTGTTGCACTGTGTTAAGTTATAGTCAATGTCATGAGACAAAGTGTATGTGAGCTGCTGTATGGAAATTTGCTCTGTAAACTTTCACCCAAATCACAATAAAAAAATGTTTTTTAAAAAAAGTGATTTGTGTTTGGTGAAAGTTCAAAGCTGCTCTTATCATAACAACTGTTTATTCAGCTTCTCATATATGGCTGAATGAGCAATAAGGAAGTAATTCTGCAGTAGCTCAAGTCATTCTATGAGGAGCAGCCTTTTTTTTTATAGAGCTGATCTTCTTAAAATCAAATTTTCCACAAACTGCTAAGTGAGAGCAACTGCTACATTTGGGCCTTTTTCGTACTAAACTATCAGTGGCCACAAAAATACCAGTTATCCGCTGCTGTAAGGAAATATTTGCAGGCACATACCAGGGAAATAATCATGATAATAATAGTTCCCATTAGCAAATGATTGAGACTTTTTCTCTCTTTGGGCAATGGAAGTACACTTACCTGCTTGAGTCACCTTCCATTGATAATAAGCCGTAAATAAAACAAGCTAAGCCAACTACAGCTGCATAGGACAGCATTTCTGTGTAATATCCAAGAAAGACAAAATAGATGCCAATTTTTTCTCCATAGTATTTCCTGTGAAAGAGGATAAAATTACAATCAGAGTCTGGAATAATGATATAAAACCCTGGTTTTATTTTCAGGCAGGCTAGGATTCTAATTTTAGCTCTGTAAACATTATTAACCATGTAATTTTAGAAAAGTCACAAAACTTTCTAAGGTTAGTTTCCAAATCTTTAAATACAAGATGATGTTGACTTTCTATTTGTATATGGATTAAAAGAGATAACACACACAAAGATAACACAAAAAAAGTAGGAAGTATAATTTATATTGTAATTTTGAAGTAATAAGATACTTTGAAGAATTTCTTAATTTTAAAGACAGTTTAAAAGTTTCTGAAATAAACTGCAGAATATTCTGCAAAAGAAATTTTAGCAATTAATCCAGCAAATCAAAATCACACTCATAATCTGCCTGGATTTTTGCTCTACCTCTCTTTCTTAAACTGAAGAAAGTATCTGGATCACATTAGGTAAGAGTTGTATGTATGTACTTCCATCTTCCTCCAAGTTTGGATCTTTGATTTGAGAGACAGGGATCAGAGAGATGAAAAGCAACTGCTTACAAAAAAGTGTCTGAGATACACAGTTTAGCTCTTGCCTTATGAGGAGCTGAAAAGGGACAGCATTACTTGGTAAAAATGTTCAAGCCACAAAACCAAGTTTTGTTTTGTTTCTTTTTTCTTTAAACTAAGTGCCCCTTACGAAACCAGAGCACATAGTTTTCTCTGCCTCAGAAAATCAGATATTTTGTTGTTGTTTGTTTATACGGTTTATGTTTTAACCTGGTCAATTCTACTTTATATATATATAGAACTAAGTGTACTAAATCTGCGTAGCCTTCCCACATTTCTTGCTATGGATAGAATTGTGTCCCCAAAAAGACATGTTGAAGTCCTAGCCCTTATTGCCTGTGAATGTGACCATATCTGGAAACAGGCATTTTATTTTGTTATGCTAATGAGTAGGATCTTAAACTTAATCCTTTCCAAGTGGTATCTCATAAATAGAACAGAACAGACACAGAGATGAACATGATGGAAGACGCTGTATGAAAATACATCTACAATCCAAGGAATGTCGAGAAACATACAGGTTACAGAAGCTGAAAGAGACAAGGATCTTTCCCTACAGTCCACAGAGAGAGCATAGTCATACAGATACCTGATTTGGACTTTGGCAGCCAAAACTGTGAGAAAATAAACTTCTATTCTTTAAAGTTAATTGTGATAATTTTGTTACAGTAGCACTAACTAAGATTGATCCCAAGGTGGATAGATGAGAGCCCTCTGGAGTTCCAACAGTGTGTTCCATATGATTTTATAACAGCACTTAATCTAAATAGTCACTTCTACACATGCTCAAAAAGAAGGCAAACTTCAACATAACTTCAGTATAAACTCCATTTCCCAAATAGATGATTATGAAATATTTTTCTCATGTTCCATATTAATTCCATTGAACTGTCCCTTTAAAATTCCTTTCTAATTGAATGGATATCTGTCTGCATATACCACCTTTTTGCCTTTACAGTAACCTAGTTAACAATTTTATATCTAGCAATCAGTTCTTTACATTAAATTTTCTGTTAAAATATTTTAAATTTATTTTAGAAAAATTAGTTCACTATTCAAATGAAAAAGGCATATAACTTGATATAAATAAAAAAATAATTATAATAAGATACAAAAAACTTTGCATGAGTTATTTTATTTAAGCTACTGTGAGCTCTTCTATACTATAAAAGGAAATTAGCAAAAGTTAGCAAGATATTACTGACAAACTGGCACTAACTGAGACTTATTGTGTTTGTGTATCAGTAGGTTTTCACAGCCCCCTTTTTTTGAATTATTTATTGCAGAAACAATCTGTACATAGTTAAATATCATATTTTCTACATGTAATATGTCCATGTAAATAATAACACTGTGGTAGTTAAATCTGTATGTCAGCTTGGCTGGGCATGGTTGAGTGGCTGAGCATCTGGTGGTAGTTATTCCCCATGATGAGTCTGGCAATCAACTCCATGGTGGGATCTACCACAAGCATCTGAGTAGCTGCCTTTGGGATGCAGCCTGCTTCCTGTATATAAGGAGAAGCTTTGGGGATAGTCTCTAGCTTATGGCACGTGTGGACCCTGCATGTAGCTGTGTCATTATTCAGCAGCCTGCCATGCTCTGCCGACCTTGGGACTTACAATGGACTTGAATTAATGGCCTGCCATGTGGTTCGGTAACATCAGAACTGTGACATTTTATTTGTCGAGATTGGGCTTGTTAGCCTCAGCAGCCAGTAGCTGCCTGAGTGAAGAGATGCCTCTAGCTTCAGTGGTCTGGGAACAAAAGGCAGAGCTGAACCCAAGGTTGAAGGGCTTTTACACAGTCCCAAGAGCCCGGCACTCTGAACTCAGATTTAACGCCTCCAAACTGTAAGAGAATGAACTCCTGTTTGTTAAGGCCATCCCATTTGTAGTATATTCTTGTCAGAGTGGCACTAGGTTATCAGAACAAACACTCTCCCACATATAATGCACACAGAACTCATAGGAAACTAATATGGGAGGGGGTTGTACCATTTACAAACAAGACAAAACAAAATCGTATAATGTACACATTATTTGCATAAAATACAGTATTATTAGTTGAAGAAATATTCTCAGTATAAATATGTAAACCTTCATTCTGACAACTTTGCTTCTTTGAAGATATCCTATAGAAATATTCCTCAAGGGCACAATGATATTTTTGTTTGCAGTTGTTCTTAGAAGCATTGTTGCATTCATGAAAAACTGGATATGGCCTAATTTTTTTTTAATAGAAAAATAGATTAAAAGCTTATATAAATTCTGTAATAAGGTATTCCTTTGTTCTGTTAAGAAGCTTGACATAGAGATACGTGCATACATTGAGAAGGATACCAATAATATGTTATTTACTGAAAAAACAAAGCCACAGTATAAAAAGTAGATGATGATGCTATGGCTTTAGGAAAAAATAATAATCTGCTTGTATATGTGGTTTTTTTAATGCACATACATTCAAATATGACTGAATGAATACAATCAAATCATGAGTAGTTACTTCTGTGAAGTGTAATGGAGGTGGAATATCACTTAAAACTTTGCATAAGCCTTTGTTACTTGAAAACTTTTTGATAAACTGCTTTTTGATAAACTTTTTTATAAACTGTGCTATTTAACTTAAAAAAAATCAAATGATCTCTTTTCAAAACAATGAAAACATCCATCCAAGGAAAGAAGTCATAAAAGAAAATCATTAACAGAAAGCACCAACTTATGTATGCTAGCTGTCTTCTATTTATTGTGTAAGTTTCTCCTCTTATTCTTCTTAAAAAATCTGTGGAGATAACATTTTAATTTGCACGGATGTACCAAAATGAGTCTCTTAAAATGGATGCTGTGCTGCCCTGCAAGCAAATCAGTACAAGCATAAATCATCAAGAAAAATGCCACCAATAATAATAAGAGATCTTTAATCTGGTTGCTCTTGAAGTGAAATCATTCTACATATAAGGAGAATTGCTATTGCTGGAAGCAGGGACATGCAACCATAGTATTCTCACTTCACTAATGATACTGTCTAAAAGAACTGGAGTCACAGAACAATTATCTTCACAGGCGTCTGAGGTCAATAATCACACATACAAATATCTATGTATACATTAATACTACCTTCAAAATTCCAGGATGTTATAAGAAAATAGGGAGCAATTGTATTGCAGTGGTTATGGTATTTTCCTGCTAACCAAAAGGCTGGTGGTTCAAATCCACCAGACTCTCTGCACAAGAAAGATGAGGCAATCTGCTTCCATAAAAATGTACAACCTTGTAAAATTTATGAGAGTCAACTGTAAGTTAGAATTGACTCGTTGGCAGTGAGTTTGGTGGTGTTTTTTTTTTTTTTTGGTATTAGAAAATACACAATGTAAAATAAAAAACCTGAAACAGCTGATATTTATTAAATGCTAAGTGCTAGCCCCTTTCTCATTTAATAATCAAATAACCCCATAAGGTAAGTAGTATTCTTATTCCCATTTTAAAGATGAGAAAAGTAAGCTTTACTTGTGTAACTAGACTAAGTTCTATAGCTTCTAAGAGGCAGTACATGGATTTGAACCTCCCAGATAATACTAATGCCTAGCCTCTTAAATAGTGTGGTATCTCTATTGTTTCTCAGAGACATTGGCAAGAATATTCTGCCTTCAAATTAAATACCGATCGAGGTGTTGATATAAAAATTTAGAAGCTGTGAAATATAGTGGGTGAAAATTGTAAAAATAGCATGTGATACTATTTTGAATAAAATCATATCATCACCTTTTAATCAGCCTCATCTTTGTGTAAGAAACTTACCTAATCAAATTTAATGGTTGCTCCTTATAAAAATAGGAAAATCGAGCCCAATTCTTATGGAGTACATATCTCTCATTGACAGGACTGGGAGGTTCTGATGGCTTCCAATATTGACCCTAAAGATAGCCAAGAAGAGGGGACGTAAAGGACAAAGCAAAAGACAAAGAAGTAAATGAACACAGCTATTATAAGAACATTAGTGAATGATGCCAATGCTCTCTTAACTTTTAAATTTAGATGTAATATTCCATTAATGTGAATGTATTACATTTTGTATAAACTGTAGTAATAGTTTATACATGTTCTTCATGAGCAAAATTAAGTCTTCTAGAATTCTGTTTTTTACAATGTTATCTGTAATTTGTTATGATCTACATAGTCAAATGCATTTGCATAGTCAATAACACACAGGTAAACATCTTTCTGGTACTCTTTACTTTCAGCCAAGAACCATCTGACATCAGCAATGATATCCTTCATTCCATGTCCTCTTTGGAATTCAGCTTGAATTTCTATAAGTTCCCTGTCAATATATTACTGCAACCATTTTTGAATTATCTTCAGCAAAATTTTACCTGTATGTGATATTAATGATATTGTTTGATAATTTCCACATACTGTTAGATGACCTTTCTTTGGAATGCACACAAATATGGATCTCTTCCAGTCCTTTGGCAGGGTACTTGTTTTCCAAATTTCTTGGCATAAACCAGTAAGTGTCTCCAATGCTGCATCCATTTGCTGAAACATCTCCAAGGGTATTGTTAATTTCTGGAGTCTTGTTTTTTTGCCAATTCTTTTAGTCTTTTAGTACAGCTTGGACTTCTTTCAACAACACTGGTTGTTGATCATATGCTACCTCCTGAAATAAATGAACATTGATCAATACTTTTTGGTACAGTGACTCTATGTATTGCTTCCATCTTCTTTTAATGCTTCCTGTATCATTCAATATTTTGCCCATAGGATCTTTCAATATTGCAACTTGAGGCTTGAATTTTTTCTTCAGTTTTTCAAATTGAGAAATGCTAAGCATGTTCCTCCCTTTCTGTTTTCTAATCCCAGGTCTTTGCACATCTCATTATAAATTCTTTACTTTGTCTTCTTGAGCTGCTCTTTGAAATCTGTTCAGCTCTTTTACTTCATCATTTTTTTTCCATTTGCTTTAGCTACTGTCTGTTCAAGAGCAAGTTCCAGAGCCTCTTCTGACATCCATTTTCATCTTTCCTTCATTTCCTGTCTTATTAATGACCATTTGCCTTCTTTGTGTATGATATTCTTCATGTCATCCCACAACTTGTCTGGTTTTCAGATATTAATGTTCAATCATCAAATCTATTCTGCAGATGCTCTCTAAATTCAGGTGAGATATAATCAAGGAAATATTTTGACTTTCAAAAATTTGTTTTTTCTTCAGTTTCAACTTGAACTTGTATGTGAGCGATTGACAGTCTGGTCCACAGTCAGCTCCTGGCCTTGTTTTGATTGATGATATTGAGCTTCTCCATCACCTCTTTCCACAGATATAGTCAACCTGATTCCTGTGTATTCCATCTGGTGAGGTCCACATGTATAGCCACCATTTATGTTGTTGAAAAAAGGTATTTGAAATGAATTAGTCGTTGGTCTTACAAAATTCTATCATGTGCTCTCCAGTGTCATTTCTATCATCAAGGCCATATTTTCCAACAACCAATGCTTCTTCCTTGTTTCCAACTTTTGCATTCCAATCACCATTAATAATAAACATATCTTGATGCATGTTTGGTTAATTTAAGACAGCAGAACTTGGTAAAAATCTTCAATTTCTTCATCTTTGTTTTTAGTGGTTGGTGCATAAATTTGATAATTGTTGTATTAATTGGTCTTCCTTTTAAGGATATTACCTTATCATTGGCAGCATTGTACTTCAGAATAGATCTTGAAACATTTGTTGTGCAATGAATGTGATGCCATTCCTCTTCAATTTGTCACTCTTGGGATAGTAGATAATATGATTGTTCGATTCACAATGGCCAATACCAGTCCATTTCCACTCAATATTGCTTAGGATATCAACTTTTATGCATTCCATCTCATTTTTGACAACTTCCAATTTTCCTAGATTCATACTTCATACATTCCATGTTCTGATTATTAATGGATATTTGCAGCTGTCTCTTCTCATTTTGACTCATGATCCCTCGGCAAATGAAGGTCTTGTCAGCTTTACTCCATCAACGTCATTAAGGTCAACTCTGCTTTGAGGAGGCAGCTCTTCCCCGGTCATATTTTGAGTGCCTTCCAACCTGAAGGGCACATCTTCCAGCACTTTATCAGACAGTATTTCAGGGCTATTTGTAAAGTTTTCCAGTAACACATCAAACAGTGTTTCACTACTATTCATAAGGTTTTCATTGGCCAGTTTTTTGACAAGTAGATGGCCCCTTCCTTCTTCCCAGTCTGTCTTAGTCTGGAAGCTCTGTTGAATCCTGTTCACCATGGGTGATTCTGCTGGTATTTGAAATATGGATAGCAGAGCCTCTAACCTCATAGCAACATGCAAGACATCATAGTACAACAAACTGACTGATGAGTGGTTGATACTTTACAAATAGGATAACTCTTTTCTTTTACTGATGGAAAAATTAAACCTAAGTAGAATTAAGTGAGTGATCCAAAATCTCACTCTTATGACAGGGACCTGTCCTGATGTCACTAGCCATAATTGATAATCATTTCCCAAAGAACTTTATATATATATGTGTGTGTGTGTGTGTGTGTGTGTGTATAAATATATAAATATATATATATATAAACATTGGCTCTTAAGAACCTGATAGGACCTAGTACAATACTAACTACAAAGCAGCCATTCAAAATATTCCTTATAACTGTTTGCCTAGATAAGTGAACTGTTGAAGACAACACTGAATGAATAGCTAGTTTAAAATTTAGCACATATGACAATGAATAATATTTTAAAGTATTCAGATTACAACTTCCTTTCCCTCCATACTTAATTCTACTGAATTTTGAGAAATGAAAGTAAAATTTTAAAAATAATACCTATTTGGGTATTGTATGAAAATAATTCTCTAAAGCAAATAAAAAAAAATCAATACCTAAACTTGCATTCAGAAGAGAAGGAAGAAATAAAACTAATTAGTTTACAACAATCTTTACTGCTAGCTAATAACATTACATTCCCAGTGAGCATGACTCCACTGTATCCTAAATGCATAGATTAAAATCACTGGTGATTGAGGTTGTTATTCTGGCTTTATGATGTGCTAGTGGTAAGGACAGGTCTTTGGTGGTGCAATGGCTAAAGCATCTGGCTGCTAACCAAAAGATCAGCATTTTGAACCCACCAGCTCTATGAGAGGAAGATGAGGCTGTCTGCTCCTACAAAGATTACAGCCTTGGAAACCCTATGGGGCAGTTCTACTTGTCCCTATGTGTCAGAATCCTATAGTGTCCCTATGTGTCAGAATCAACTTGATGACATTGGGTGCTGTTTTTGTTTTCATCATCCTCACAATCATTGCTATGTTTGAGCCTGTTGTTGGAGTCACTGTGTCAATCCTTCTCTTTGAGAGTCTTCCTCTTTTTCACTGACCCTCTCCTTTACCAAACATTAAATCTTTCTCCAGCAGTTGGTACCTCCTGATGACCTCTCTCTCCATCTTCACTTCTCTATGGAAGTAAACTGCCCAATCTTCCTTCTGAGGAGTGAACCACCAGCCTTCTTGTTAGCAGTCAAATGCCTTAAGCACTATGCCACCAGAGCTCCTTTTAAGGTTGTATTTCCTCCAAAATAGATGTGTTCATTAATCTGGCAGTCCATAATATATTTAATATTCTTTAAACACAATTTAAATGCATCGATTCTTCTTTGGTCTTCCTTTTCCATTATATAGCTTTTGCATGCATATGAGAGGACTGAAAATAGTATGGCTTGGGTCAGGTGCATGTTACTCCTCCAGGTGACATCTTTTACACTTTAAAGGGGCCTTTTGCAGATTTGCCCAATGAGATACATTGTTTGATTTCTTGATGGCTGCTCCCATGGGCATTGATTGTTGATCCAAGAAGAATGAAATCCTTGACAACCTTAATTTCTTCCCTATTCATCACAATGTTGTTCATTGGTGAAATTTTAAGGATTTTCATTTTCACTTATAAGTATGAAAGAGTAAAATAAAAAACAAAAGAAATGAAAGCTCTAACAGATGATCTCACAGGGGTGTATATAATATGTTCAGCCACATGATTTCTACTGCCAGCAATAGCAAAATTTAAACAATGAATATCCAAATGAGAAGGTCAATTAATTCATCAAACAAGATGGTACTTTAGATATACCTTTTGTGTGTGTATTTATAAAGTTCAGTAGTTTTTTACACTGATATATTTTAAAGGCATTGGTAGGGAAAATTGACTGCTAACCAGAAGGCTGGCAGTTCAAACCCACCCCACCAGATACTCCTCAGAAGGAAAACTAAGCAATCAACTTCTGTAGAGATACTGCCTCAGAAACCCAAGGAAAGGTTGCTATAAGTCAACAGCAGTGAGTTTGTTGTTGTTTTTGTGTTGTTGCTGTTGCTTTGATAGGGAAAATAGAGGATTGTTTGTAACTCCAGGAAAATAAACAATGGAAATACTTAAAATAATAAATTCGTTATCCTCTACATGCAGTTTTCTTTGATCTTCCAGCCTTGAAGAATAATTCTTCTGAATGTCAGTTGTTTGTCTGAGTTTTTCTTATGAAATGAAGCCTTCAGCTTGTGTTGCAGTTGTGTACATGCTTTGTTTCTAACAAATTCCTAGTCTATGAGCTCTGACTCATAGCTGTATTCCAGCATAATACTTTGCATATAATTTGTGGTAGTTAAAGTTGTATGTCAACTTAGCTGGGCCTGGTTGAGTGGCTGGGCAGCTGGTGGAAGTTATTCCCCATGATGAGACTGGCAATCAGCTCCATGGTGGGATCTACCACAAGCAGCTGAGTAGCTGCTGTGAGTATGTGGTCTGCTTCCAGTACATAAGAAGTAGCTTTGGGAATGGTCTCTAGCTTATGGCACACTTGAACCCTGGATGTAGTCGTGTCGTTGTTCAGCAGCCTGCCATGCTCTGCTGTTTCTGGGACTTTCAGTGGACTTGAATCAATGGCCTGCCATGTGGTTTGGTAACATTGGGACTGTGCCATTTTATTTGTCGACCTTGGGCTTGTTAGCCTTAGCAGCCACTAGCTGCCTGAGTGAAGAGTTGCCTGTAGCTTCAGTGGGCCGGGAGCAAGAAGCAGAGCTGAAGCCCAAGGTGGAGGGGCTTTCACACAGTCCTTAGAGCCTGGCACTTTGAACTCGGACTTCTATCCACCCGAACTATAAGAGAATAAACTCCTGTTTATTCAAGCCATCCATTGGTGGTATATTCCTGTCAGAGTGGCACTAGGTAACCAGAACACAGTTGAAGCAAGTTATTTACGTGATGAATGAATAAATAAATGCATATGGCTTCAAAATTTTACAAAGGAGCAAAGAGGGATTCAGATAGAAATTTTCAAATATTGTATTCTAAAATGTTCTTGTTGTAAAACTGCTGTTTTCAAAATGGGTCCTAAAGAAAACCCAGTACAAATATAGTAATTGTTTTAAATGAATTTCCATTTACATCCCAATTTCAAGTGGCATTAATGCCAGAAAGAGTTTCAGCATAGCAGGTAAAGTTCTCCCCCTAGTGTTAGGAAATCTTTGGGGATTTTCTCAACACAAACAAGAATTGAGCAACCTATCATACAAGGAGGAGCTCTGGTGGTGTAGTGCCTAAGGCATTTGACTGCTAACCAGAAGGCTGGTGATTCAAACACACCAGCCACTCAGAAGGAAGACTGGGCAATCTACTTCCGTAGAGATACTGCCTCTCACTGTGAGTCAGATCTGACTCTATGGCAGTGAGGTGTTATTTTTGTTTTGTTTTGTTTTTTTAAAATCAGAGGTTAGTAAATGGAACATCCCATCTCCCAACAAGCAATCTGTGAATACGGGAGAGGAAGAAGTAGGCCCACTATTTACACAGTAAACTTACACTTACATCATGGAGTGGGTAAGCAGATGAGTAAGTGTTAGAATTTAGCAGTCGTTCAATCCCGAACCTTTTCTTCCCTTCTTCTGTACCAAAAGGACATCGTGAAAGAATATAATAAACCTATAAGGCAAGGATAGAAACACTGTCACATATCAGAACTTTATACTTTGCACTTAGTTTTCCATTTTTTTTTTCAATTGTTAAAACAATATTTGCTTTGTCTAAATGTAAATATAAGCTATGATTACAGAAGGAAGCTTCTCTTTGGTGTTTAGAGTTAAGGTAGAGTGTGGGGTTTACAGATACTTTAGGCCCTGGATATGGAGCTCTCAAATATCCTGGGAAGTGCATCATAAATTCTTTTGCTTCTCCAGTCCCAAGCATCTCCAGGAGTCCTTGTGCAAGAATTCCTACTATAATCAGCACTTCAAGTTGGAGTCTAATATCACTGCTACTAAGAATTCGATTAGAGAAATGAGGGGAAGAATTGATATTTAGTCAAGTCTTACATTTTTCTTCAATTAATTACTCTCATGATTTACATAAGGCCTGTTCCTGATATCTAAATGTATTAACTCAAGATTATCATATCTCTGCAATCATTTGGCAAACTATATTTTCATATTAGTTTCTCCTACATGTAAATTAGGCTTTGGTATCCTCTGATCTTGTATTTCTGTAAATTCAATTTCATCTGCTTTTTGCCTTCTAGGACTTTTCAGATTTTCTGTTTATCTGATGTATATCCTTTTGGTATTTTTTGGAACTATTTTAGATGTTTTTTTCCCTTATCTCCTTTTTATATTTCATCATTCAAGGATTGTTGATTGGAATGGTTGTTGTCCTTGAATCATCATTTTAATCTAATCTAGCCATTCATTTCAATGACAGCTTAATATTACATTTTGTAAATATGTTGTAATTTAGGCAAGTTAATTTTAATTTTTATAAATAATGTGATGAGTATTGACTATTTTAAGGAGCACTGGGGGTATAGTAGGTAAGACATTTGGCTGCTAACAAGAAGGCTGGAAGTTCAAATCCACTAACTGTTCTGTGGGAGGAAGATGAGGCAATATACTTCTATAAAGATTTACAGCCTTGGAAACCCAATGGGGCTCATTAGGAGTCAGAATCAACTCGATGGCAGTAGGTTTTTGTTTGTTTGTTTGTATATCAACTATTTTATAGACTTTGCATTATTTCCTCAGGAAAAATTCCTTAAAATAAGAACTTTGTCTTGGGGTAACAACAAAGTATAAAAATATACTCTACCAGATTTTAAAACTTATTATACAGCTATGGTGCTAAATATGGTATTATATTGCCAAATGAAAACAAATCTTGATTTAGATAAGGACAAATTTTATTCAAAACAATCACTGCAAGAGGAGGATGGTGGCTACTGAAAGAGGAGGTGGTTATAGACTATTACATCTATATATATGTGTGTGTGTAGAGAGAGAGAGATATAAATACAGATATGCATGATGTTGCTGTTGGTAGGTGCCATTGAGTTGGTTCTGACCCATAGTGATCCTATGTTCAACAGAGCAAAACACTGCCTGGTCCTGGGCCATACAAATATAATATTTATTATATTGTAATACATATGGGGAGCTCTGGTAGCATAGTGCCTAAGGCACTTGACTGCTAACCAGAAGGCTGGAGGTTCAA